CACGCACATCCGCAGCCACACCCCACACCTAACGTTTACATCAATAAAAAATATCAAATGTTTATCTAAGTATCAATTGGATAAAATAAAAAGTATAGCTCTTGGAATATCTTGATATTACGATAAATGTTGAATCGAATAGAACAAATATATACATGGAATGAATTTAATTGATAAATTACTTCGGGCTGACTAGATGCGGCTATTTTTTCTGGTTTATCAATCTAATATAAATAAATCAACGTTTCACATATTATTTGTATATAGTGTATCGACAAAATGAATCTATACTAGAAGCCTGGATGTCAAAAGATCAAATTTTCCTAAGAGTTTGTAGTGTTTGAAATCTAGAGATTAAGCCCATCTCCTCAAAAGTCGATCAATCGTGGGTCGAGTACATTTAGATGGCATGAAATTTTCAGGATATATTGGATCCATAGTGAAAAAACTATGGTAAAATTTTCAACTCTATACCATCACGTTTTCGGGAGATATTCAACCAACAACGCTCAAACATAGCCTATTTGGCAATACAAAAATCTGTGTGGGCCTTCATACTATTTATTTAACTTCTTATTTTGTTTGAAATAGCATGTCAAGATGCAGAACATGACAGAGCCATTGCATTTTTAAATTCTTAATTTTTAAGCGAAGGAAAGATATGATAAGTTTAATACTTCAAAAAACTCAAAAAAATGACGCGCTTATTATACAAATACTTTTTTTTTTACTTAGGTCTGACCAAAAGTTCTGTCATCATTAAATGAAAATATGAAGATAAAGAGATATTTTTAATTTTATCTTATCAAATGTTAAGCATAGTTGCCGGTATTATTTATTTCAAGATCAACCTTTTCTAACAATTAATTAAATATGTTTTTGAACTCTTTTTCTGAAAAATTTTTTAGCTACCTTGGAAACCGCATGAGCACGTCATATTTCATTTATTTAATCAGTTAAACTACGCCCAATACAATTACTTAATCATAGATTACGTAGTACCAGATCTGACGAACATGGTAGATGTGACATTATACTGATGTCTCCTTCTGTGAAATAATTAATAAAATTGAACGAGTATGAAGTTAATGATGATCGTCAAGCAATTTTGGACATTTGGAACCTGATGTCTCTGCTTGTTTTCATATTACATTAACAAAAGGCTTCAGACAATTTTTAATATAATACTTGTGACCTACAGTCTTGCCTTTACCTACATTCAGGACTATTTGACTTAAAGAATATACAAAACAAAGTTTTTGATTCAAATCCGTCTCCATGAACAATAGTCTTTGACGATTCATCTTCAATATGCCACCTAGCATTAGATGACTTATAACTAACCTATCTAAAATAAATCCATATCTCATCACTAGTAATGCTAGAACGCAACTGATATAATCGAACAAAATTTCGCTAAATTTTTAAAACAAATGAAACATGATTAGCTCATACAGTTTCCAAGGTAGCTAAAAAAAAATTTTCAGAAAAAGAGTCCAAAAAAACTTTTAATTAATTGTTAGAAAAGGTTGATCTTGGAATAAATAATACTGGCAACTATGTTTAATATTTGATAACATATAATTAAAAATATCTCTTTATCTTCGTATTTTTATTTAATGATGACAGAACGTTTAGTCAGACCTAAATATATATAATGGTAATGAAGCTTAATTCAAAAAAGTATACATAGAGAAAAAGCGAAAAAGCTTTTCCAGTTTTTCCGAAAGAAAGGCATATTTTTCAAACAGAAAATGACGAAAACTTTTGGAAAAAAACGAAATGCTACATAAAAAATCATGCTATTTATAAAAGATCACAACTCCGATCATCTTCCCATGCATGTATCTTAATTTTCATTATTTTTTTTAAGAGCGAGAGACCTTGTATAAGCTGCATATCTTCATTATTAATCCTTGTTTATAACTAACGATATCAGATGTAAAAATATGAGTTTTAAAATCATTTGTTTCCCTCTAATTATATTTTATAAGAAACATAGTAAAAAAAAATACTTTAGTGTTTAATTCTACATGAAAATATATGCTGATATCAATGTTAATCATAGGTTGTAGAAAAAAAAAAAGAAACTTCAAATAACATTTATATTTTATTGCATGATTACAATCATCTGACTTTGATAAAATATAGAGATAATACTCAATAAAAATTGATGAAGATGACATTCTATTTTCATTTTAATTTCTTATCTGAATCAAAGTATGATAGATGAAGAGTAACTTTTGAAAATATATTTAATTAAATATATTTCTTTAATCATTCATTTAAAAATGATTTATTTATTATGTGAATAAGTTGACAAATTTTACTTGTCAACTTAGTTTGATAATCTTCACTTTTGTATGAAATTTCAACTATAATTATTCATTCTATCTGCATATCCTGTTCTTTTTTGCTCATTCCATTTACGATTAACCATTGTTTAAGCAAAGAAAAAAAAACCGATACATAAAATGAAAATCGAAAGAAAAAAATAATAAAGAAAAGTATATTAAATATTAAACCTACAGATTCATGTCAGAAATCATTTTATATGCGTAAATATGTATAAGTATTTCATTAAAATATACGATTGATAATTGTGTATTTTAAAATGAAATCTATATAGATATCTTTAGTCTAAAGTAATCATCATTTTTTATATTTGATTATCATACAAAGAAGATGTTTTATTTTCTTTCGACAATGATGCACTTAGTATAATGAATTTTATTTTAATATATTACATTTATTGTAATTTCTTAAATTATGCTATACTTTGTATATTATCCAGATATGTCTTACTAGAAATATTCAATTATTTTAGTTTTTTAGATTAAGTTTTTGACTTAAAAGAAAAAAGAAGTTGACATCATTCTGTTAATTTCTTTTTGGTCTTTCTCATACTTTTTCTCTATCTCTCATTCCATTCTTTTTTTCTCCTTTTCACTGTGTTTCTCAATGTTCTAATCAATGAAAGATTTCTCTCTTTTCATGTTCTCTCATTTTTTCTTCGACTTGTAGAATAAATATCTTTAAGATTATTTCCATCGTCTTTATTCTATCATAGTACTTTCATAAATATAAGACAAATTTGAAAATTTTCTTTCTATATACACATACAACGAACGCAAATATTATATAATATAACATAGAAAATATATATTGTCATCATGTTGGGTATTGGAAAACGAACTTACAATTCATCTATGACAATCATTTATGCATTTTTATTTATTCTTCTTGTCAATCAATTTCTTATCGTTAATTCATTTCGATTTATGTCTCAAGATTTCAATGAGGTATGTAAATTCTTTCGAAACTATTAATTCGCTCGCCTTTAACATACACAAACAAACAAATAAATTATCCTCTTATCTCGACTAACTGAAAGATAATAATTTCTTATTCACTTTCATTACAAATTAGCATGAATATAATCATATCACCAAAAACCTTGAAATATATAATCATTTCTGTCTTAAGAGATTTTGTAAAAGACAAAAAAAAAGAGATATGAGACTTGTCATGCACACAGTTCTTGTGCTGGATCCGAAAGAAAGACGGTATATAAAGGGATAAATGAGAAATTTCACAAAAGTTGTATCAATTTTCCTGAGTAATAATGAATAATTTTCAATTGTTGAAGATGCGAATCCCTATAGGCTACCACCTATTTTAACGAAGCTTGCTATCATGTCGACAATTGAAGAAATCTTGCGAATAGATCCATATGGCTGAGATATCGAACAGTATACATTTAATAGAAAGAAAAAAACTTGAACATACTTCTCCAATCCAACATTGCATCGACAATGTATAGGAATATGTTTTATCATATACTTTTACATGAATAATATTTTTTTTCTGTTTCTTTAATATATATATATATATATATAGTACGAACCGAACGATGTAAAACGAGTAGTTAATCCACCATTGGTATATGAAGACATTGCGTATCCAAGTAGGAAGAAAAAACCCTATTCATTATTTTGATTAATCTTATTTTGTCTTAAAGAAAAATCATCATTCAATGATTATGATTTTCCATTATTTGTAGAACCAAAAGTTGAACGTAAGATTTATTTTTGTTTTTTTCAAATTAATTAATCATTTTTTTTTTCTTAAAATATTTTCATTAGGTCGATTCTGTTGTATGAGTCCATTACTCAGTGGTCGAAAACGATCAATACGAGATTTAACAAAAAAAACAAATTGAAAGTTAACAAACATAATATTTGTTAATTGATTAAACAAATAATTCACATATGTTGGCTCATTATCATACATGTTCTCAAAAATAAAAAGAATAAAAAATTGAAAATATTTATTTCCTTTTTATTTTTCTTTCATTTTAAAATTACAGTAATGTTCAACAATTGAGAAATTCTCAACGAAGTTATGATGATTCTTCAAAGAAATGAAAATTGACCATTAATCCCATAACAGTTTTCGTCTTTTATAAAAACTAAAATGATTCTTTTTTCTATTCACAAATTCTTTGGTGAATATAAATGTGCGAACCAAACATCTTATGGATATTGTGTTTTCTTTTTATTTTAGCAACTCGGGAACTGCACGGAAATTGAAAAAGAATTCATATTTCTTAGTCGTTGAACACTACTCTTAAAATATTATACATTTCAATAAGCACATGCATACAAAGCAAATATACGGAGACTGCAAAGAAAAAAAGAAAAATAATATTGAAAAGATGACTGTTTTTGTAATTTTCAGTTACAAACAAAAGCAAATGAGAAAAAAACAATAAATAATAAAACTTCAAAATAAGAGATTGAAAACATTTAATATTACAAAGAAAATATTCGATTATTGTAATTACAAATAAAGAGATTGTTTGTATCAAACCAACATGTAATTATTGAATTCATATTGGATCTAGAAGATAATTATTGATAATCAATAATGTTTTATATTTAGTGATGAGTAGAAACAATCTTTTTTTTTTTCATTCTCGGGACTCATCTTGATCATATCTAATTATATTTATTAAACTTACCAATAATATTAGTTTTTCTATGAATTAATTCATATGAACTTCCTTGTTCATTTCTTTCTTTTAATATTTGATTATTTTCTTGGATTTTAGCAAAATTAACAAATACATCATCAAGTGTTATTTGTGTAATAGTATAATCTTCAATAAGATTTTTTAATTTATCACGTGCTTTTTCTAATATATTAAACATTTTATGTAATGAAACATTTGTTGATACACGAAAATGTATCATTTTATTATGTTCTTCTTTAATAGTAGCTTCTGGTATATATTTTTGAATATAATTAATAACAATTTTTCTATTTGTATCAATATTTGTTCGAATAAATATTGTATAACCATCACCAAATCTGAACCAAAAACAAAAAAACAATTATAAATGAAAAATGAGGAATTTCATTTACTTTTCTTTTAAATGTTGTACACTACCAAGACATTTAAATTCTCCATTAACCATAATAACAAGTCCTAAATACAAAATTTTATATCTCCTTTGTTTTTTTTTCTGACTAAATAGTTCTTACGATTGCATAATGTTTCACATTCTTCCATTGAATGCGATGTTATAATAACTGACTTTTTATCTTGACGTGTTAATTTTAATATACAATTCCATAGAAAACGTTTTGCACGTACATCCATTCCTGTTGTAGGCTCCTAAATATTATTAGAATTTTTATTTAATTTAATACAATATCTATTTAATAAGATTTAGTCTTGATCGATGACTATGAGTTATTCTCTGATATATCGAATAAAAAAAATTTTACTTCATAACAGAACTAAACATAACGGGACCAATCGTTTTTAGTTTTGGATTCTGCCAAATGAAAAATTTGATCCGAGTCTCGGACTAACTTGTTCATGTCTAGATAGAACTCGTCATGTATATTGTGTACTTCAATGAAATTTTTGATCTTTCGTATAAGTAATTTCAAACATAATTGCAAAAGAAACTTTGAAGTAGTGAGTAGATGTTCTTTTAATAAGATTGTATCGAATGTAAAGTAAATATAAGAATCTAATTATTATGGGAGTATTTTCAATTAAACTTACATCCATAAATATGATTGTTGGATTTCCAATGAGTGAAATAGCTGTTGATAATTTTCGTTTATTTCCACCTGAATATTGTTTTACTGGTCGATCAGCCCAAAGTGTAAGACCAAGTCGTTTTAATAAGCAATCAGCAATCTATAAAATATTATGCATATGTTTTTCGAGAAAGAAAAAAAAAACTTCGAATTTACAAATGGTATATTCTTTTGTTTAATTCCACATAATCGAGCATAAAAATAAAGATGTTCTCGTGCTGTTAATAACAAATCAAGTGCATCAAATTGTGGACAATAACTAAAAAAAAAGCAAAAATTTAAAAAAAAAAAAAAACCTAAATCTATGTTACCCAATATTTTGTCGAACATCATCTAATTGTTTAATAACACTATAATTATTAACATATGCATTTCCATCTGTCATTGAAATTTCTCCAGTAAGCATTTTAAATGTTGTTGATTTTCCTGAACCATTTATACCTAATAAACCAAAACATTCACCTTGTTTAACACCAACACATGTTTGTTTAACAGCTATAAAATTTTTACCAAATATCCATCCATAAACCTATTACACCAAAACAAAAAACATGATTCATTGAAATTTGTCGTAAATTTTTGTTTTGGTCTGTTCTTTACTTTTACTAAATCAACCATTCGTAAAACATCATAACTTGTATTATTAGGATCAGAATAAATTCTTTCTCGTTCAGCAGCAACATCATCATCTTCATTAAGTGATTTTAAATTTTTTGGTGTACGAACACAACCACTATTATAGCAAAAAAAATATAATAGATTTAAAATGAAATTTGTTTTGTTTTGTTTTGTATTTACCGATCAGGTATAAAAAATCGATATTGAACAAGAATAGCAAATAGAAAAAAGATAATACCTTGAAAAAATAATGATAATAAATTTCGACCAACAATATCCATTTGAAATGGTGATATTGGAACATAGCCCGAAACTTAAAAAAATTATCTATAAAATATATTTTATTAAATCGAAATATATATAAACAAACCATATTTAAGTCTAAAAACATTAGTTGCATGTATTCTACTCATATCAAATAAACCTCGACCAAGACAATAATGTGGAAAAATAAGAAATAATTTCATTAAAATATTATTAATACGTTTAAGGTCTATTTCATCATCAATAGTTTCTAATATAAATGTTGATATTGTTGTTATTAAACCAATAGATATATTAATACATGATATAACTACAAAACCGGTTGATGGTGTTTTAAAAAAATAATTTATTGAATACATTAACGGTATTAGTGCAAAACCATAGAGAAATAATAATAATAGAAGACAAAGAAAATTTGTTTTATATACATATGATTCAATATTAAATATAAGAAATATAATCATACAAATTGCTATTGATACACAGTAATTTGTTAAATCCCAAAGAAAATGTCCACACCAATAAGTTATACCTAAATAAATAAGAGAAGGGAAAGGAACGATATATATTGAAATTGATTCCATCGAGAAATATGATTTCTTCTATGTCAAACTATCATATAAGATATTCGAAAGTGACCACTTATGATCATCGTAGGGTACATTGAACCCTATTGTTCATGACAATCAGCTCTTTTTATCTACTCATCGCATGAGCGATTAGATTAGTTTTCATCTGGTTCGATAGCATTTTTCAAGCGCTCTAAAATGGCATTTTACTAGTATTCAGTAGATTTCGATAAGAAAATTACGATTTGTTTGAAAACTAATATGATATTCTGAATCAATATCCAAAATTGAGTGGATTTGTGTATTTCAAATATTTTCACAAACTGGTTTTTTTCGTCGAGAATTCCACCCTTGGTCTCCTCAAGGTTGGACTGAAAAATAAATTTCGTCAAGAAGTTATTTTTACAGTGAGAATCAAATTCTAAGGTTATAGACGATATTAGAACTACAAATAGCAGATGATTAAACAAGAAAAACAGAATTTTCATGAAATTCATTTTTTGACTCAATCCTGGAGAGACCAAGGGTGAATTTTTCGATGAAAAGAGAAGTTTGTGAACATATTTGGAAAATACAAAAGTCTACTCAATTTGAAATGTTGATTCAGAATATCATAGTAGTTTTTATTCAAATCGTAATTTTCTTATCGAAATCTTGTCTCGAGAAAAGTTTCCTTAGGATTTCTTTGTGTGACTACTGGTTTTGATAAGATTGACAATTAAAAAGAGCTGATTATCGTGAACAGTCGGATTCAATGTATATGTGACGGTCATAAGTACTATATGAGTAATAGGGTCAATTTCAACATATATCGATCTCTCGTTCCTTGAATTAAATTTTGATGAACAGTATTAAGAAAAGAAGTATGAATTAATTTACAATCCAATATTTATTGTTACCTTTAAGACCACTAACAAATTGTAAATGTTTCGATGTTGTTATACGTTCATCAATGAGAAAAACAAGAAAACTTGCTGGAATAAAAGCTAAAGCAAATATAATACATATTGCTGTAAACATTTCTAATGCAGAACGACTTTGTAAATCAGTATCTAGTTGACGTTCAGTTTCTGGTAATGGATGATTTATTGTTGTTATACCATAATCATTAATATCAATTGATGAATTAACTTGTAAAAGAAGACCTCTTAATAAAGCATTATTAAATATATTTAAAAATGCTACACTTGATGGCCATCCTTTATTATTATACCAAACCTAAAAATAAAAATATAGAGATTTTATTCTGATATTCAGATTTCAATTTTTTTAAAACTCTTATTAATTTTAAACATATAAATTTTATTTAATAAAAAAAAAACAGAGATATTTACCGAAACTCGAGGTGGAAAAATTCGAAAGAGTGGAGCAATTTTCCATGAATTAATCATAGATAATAATTGATTTGTTAGATCAGTTATATTTATTATTTGATTAATTAATGTTTCATTTATAATATCATAACTATCTGACACGGATTGTAATAGAAATTCAAAACCACCAAAACGTTTCATTAAATAATCAATATTATATTCAGTTTTTATTAACCAATCTGTTATATTATATCCTTGTAAATCATATAAAATATCACCTGTTTGAGTAATATCATAATTAGCTGCTGGTCCACCACTACCCATTGGACATGTTTGCATTTTTTCCCAACAATCACATTCAGGTGATATACGTGTTTGATTATAATTAATATTATTTAATACATTCATTACATCAGAATTTGTTGGAATATAAACATAATCAAAAGTTTTGTTCATACATGGATAGAATTTTTTATTGAATATTGTTGTTTTTATACAACGTGTACCTAATGATGGTGGCTGAGTAAATGTTTGTTGAATTGATTTTGATATAAGTGAAGTATCATCAGTAGATAATGATTGAAATATATAATTTGGTTTATTCCAATACCATGGATGAAGTATAAGCATTGGTGGTTCATTTTGATTTGGTGATAATTTTATAACGAGCATAGCAAGTAATATAAAGAAAATTGGAAGAAGAAGTTCAGCAATAAATCCTTTTCTATTACGTTTTGTTCGATGAAAACGTTTTATAATTAAACCCATTATTTGTATAGCTATATAATGTATACCTGTATATCGTTCGGCAGTATATGGACTCCAATCATCTATAGAAGATTGAGGATTATTATTTAATATTCATGTGAAAATGTTAATCTTTTGAAATGTATTTAAAACGAAAAACAAAAAATTATCAGCGCAGCTTCTTTGTGGTTAACATATGTTTCTTTAGTCTTATTGTTCTTACACAAAATACGTAAAATGAAAGTATCTTTTTTTTCTTTTTTGTATTCTGTTTTTCTTAATTTAACATTATTAATATTCTAACTATTTATTTGACTGGCAAATAAGACTCTTGTACGTATCCATTATATCTACAACGAGTCTTAACCTACTTTAAATATATCTCGATCAGTTCACAGTCACTGCTATTGATTATTTCTCAAAGTTATAATTTCATTAGTTCACGCTTTTTATATTGTTCATATGACGACTGTAACAAATCCATGCATCCCTACCCGTCACCCTCGACATCTTAAATATAATTTTTCATTTGCGCAAAAATAAAAACTGCACTATTTAGGACATTCTAAGTCTTCTTATTAATACTGTTTAGCGTCCTTTTTCGTTTCTAAGGAACCCTAAGAAAGAAGTAAGGTGCCGATTGTCCTCGGTTGCTGTGGAATCATACCCAATGATCTTTAGCGTTCCCCAATCCTCAAGTGTAAGGGTCGAAGTTGTAATTACTAATGCCTAAGATCTGGTTGCTAGAAGTTAGAGAAGGAACTGCAAAAATCTCGATTGAAACTTACACTTACTATATTCTTCGAAAAACTATGTAAGTTCGATAGAAAAGGATTTTTTTGTTTAAATGATCTTACCACTTAATCGTGTATTCATTTGTATTTGATCATCATTATTTTCATTTTCATTTGTTGGATTGTTTACTACTTCATGTTTTGTAAATAATTTTCTTATACGATTTTGGATTTTTTTCTTAGATGATAAACGTTCATAATCTTCTGGTCGTTTTATTTCATCAGCAACACGTAAAAATACTTGTTCAAGACTACTATTTGATAAACCATAATTTTTTATATGATATTTTGTTTTATTTTCATCAAGATCAGCAAGCATTATTGGAAATATTTTTGTATGTTCAAGATCATCTACTATAATATAAGTTATTTGATTACCATGTTCTTCTTTTACACGAATATCAAACATATATTTTCGAAGAAATTCAGTTAATTTTGAAAAATGTATAGAATTTAAAGAAGAATTTGTATTAGTTATTAAATTGCTATTATTTTCTTGTTGTTGTTGTTGTTGTTGTCTATATTCATTTTCATCTGTTATTAATTCAATAATTAAATTATAACCTTCACCATATTTTCGTTTTAAATACATTGTTGTACCAACACATTTTAATTCACCGGACGATATTATTGCTATACGATCACTCAGTAAATCAGCTTCATCAAGATGATGTGTTGATAAAACAATTGTTCGTTTTGGTTTATATTTTAATATAAGATCCCATATTGCTCGTCGAGCAAATGGATCAACACCTATTAAAAGAATTTTAAAAAAAATCTATCTCAAATCAAAATAGTCGTTTGAGGTTCTCTATGAAATGCATTCCATACTGAAATTGCATAACTACACTAAGGGGCGAAGATTTCTGAAAAAATTCATAATGGGTAGACTTCAAATCACATAGGACCGTATGAAAAGATCGCTAAAATTCTCTATTTTGGCAATGATATTATATATTCAATGTCTTATTATTAGTTAACAAAGCAGAGATGTCTATGGCAGCGGCACGCTTTTTAAAAAATTGTCTCAGCAGCGTCGCGGTAGCGGCAAATTTTTTAAAAATCATCGCGACAGCGGCAGGTTTTCAGCCGCGCTGAACGTCTCTGCAACAAAGCCTTTTTGAACTTCCATGTAAGATATTTTTGTATACTTGGATTATACTCGCAAATGCTTTGCTTATAGATACCTGCTGTTGGTTCATCTAAAATAACTGTTGTTGAATTTCCAATAAAAGCAATAGCAATTGAAAGTTTTCGTTTCATACCACCAGATAATTCTGTTGAATAATTTTCTGCTTTTTTTTCTAATATTAAATCTTTTAGCATTTTTTCTGTTTCACTTTGAATTAATTCATTTGGTGCATCTTTTAATCTAATCAACACAACAAAATAAAAAAACATAATTTTTTTTCTTTTTCTTATGCAAAAATTATCTTACTTAGAAAAAAATTCTAAATGTTCTTTTACAGTTAATAAATCAAATAAAATATTATATTGTGGAGCAAAACCAAGTCGTTGTCGTACAATTTTTATATCGGTTAATATATTATAACGATCAATATATGCTGTACCAGTTGATGGTGGTATTAAACCAGTTAATATTGACCATGTTGTACTTTTTCCAGCTCCATTTCTTCCAAGAAATGCTGTTATCATATTACGATAAAATTTTATCGATAAATTTTTTAATGCCATTTTATTTCCATAATATTTCGATAAATTTATTATTTCAATACCAATATCACCTAGTTCCTTTTCAACTAAAAAAAAACAGACACACACACACACAAATATGCTTTTATGTTTTAAATAAAAACAAAAAGAAAAAAAAAATTAACCATTTTCATTCTGATTAACTGGAGGTCCCATTTCTTCTGTACGTTGACGAATTTTTTTTGCATCAAAACCAAACCAATACGTCTTTGTAAAAGGATAATACCATACTTGTGGAATTCCGTATTCACCTAAATATTTGAATAGAAAAAAAAAATTCAAAGTTATTTATTATTACCGGGAAATACATTTTCAATATAAATAGTTAATAACATATATATAACAGAATCGATTAACATCATTATAATACAATGAAGAAATGTAAAAGTATCATTAGGTTTTATACTTTGATTTATATTAAACCATTGAATACCTTTAGCCATACCTTCAAATCGAGCAATATAATCACAACCAAGTCCAAAAGCAACTGTTGATGAAAGACACTAGAAAAATAAAAATAAAAAAAATATTTATTTAATTTTGTTTTTTCCATTGAAACTTACTGCAATCGTTTTTTGCCATGTTTTTATTTGAGTATCATAATTAATTAAAATAGTATATGGTAAATAGAGAAGAAAATATAAAATTCCAGCTCCTAGAAGATTTAGTTTTTTTGTAATTATAAATACTTAATTTTTAAATAAATACCACAAGCAGCTAAATTAGCTCGATTGAAAAAGACGCTTATTAAAAAACATTGATTAATTGTAGCAAATGTATAAGCAGTAAAAAACAGAAATAATATTAAAATATTTGAAAATTGTGTAATTTTTCCAAACTATAAAAGATATATATTTAAACAAAATAAGTATTAATTAGATTAATTTATAATTAACTTTCATCATGATTGAGTGAATATATTTAATTCTTATAGGATTACTATAAACGAGGGATCACTTTCGAAAGAGAACTTATTCAATTCATAATAAATTAGATACTAATTCATTTAATAATTATTATAAGGTTTTATAGATGTGACAGACAAATATGAAGGACATATCAGTTTAATAGTACAATTAACATAGCTTCTACTATCTATGTCAAAATATAATGTGCTTCACTTTATTTTATTTTTTTTACTGACTAAGAAAAACATACACTATATACTTCTTTATTTTAAGGTGATAGTGACATTAACGGATGGTCCACAGCAGAGTTGCAAATGACTACGAATCGATTAATTATATGAATGATACATTTCTCCCATGAGAGAACCTTCCGAGGTGTCCAACGAGTTTAGGTTTCATCTTTTGGCCATAAGTGGATCTTGATGAGAGATGAAAAAGCTGTAAAAGATTTGAGCCCTCACGGCTTTGTTTCAAAGATATCGAATTGTTAAGAAATGTTCCTCATAGGATCCAAGATTTTCAGCAAAATTATATTATCGAATTTTGACCTGAAACTTTGCTTATATCAACCTCTCAACTAGACTAGGTCGTGTACAAAATTTCAGGCTTTTCTAACACAATCTTTAAAAAGTATGAATGTTTCAAACATATTTATGTTTCGTACAATATCTGTAATAACGACCTATATTTTGAAACATTCATATTTCTTAAAGACTGTGTTAGAAAAGTCTGAAATTTTGTACACAACCTAGTCTACTTGAGAGGTTTATATAAGTAATGTTTTAGATCAAAATTCGATGATACGATTTTGCTGAAAATCTTGGATTCTATAAGGAATATTTCTTAACGATTCAATATCCTTGAAACAAAGCCGTGAGGGCTGAAATCCTTTACAGCTTTTTCATATCTCATCAAGGTCTACATATGGCCAAAAGATAAAGCCTTCACTCGTTGTACACTTTGGGAGGTTTCCTCGTCAGGTTTTTTCAAATAATGTATAGATAGAGTTACGATATGCTTTGCTAGTGTTCAAGGAATCCTTAACCTTTTGCAAAAATTCTGGTCACCATTCTCGTTCAATAATATGTGAACCAAAATTTAGTACGAACAGACTATTTTACATTTTATTTTGAGCTTTTAAATATTGTTGAGAATCTATCTAATAAACTTCATGCACTATGAACCCTTTATCAAAAAGAAATCTCTCGCTGTTAACATTTCAAATAGAGAATTTCAATTGAATCCAATTATTGTCATTAGAAACATATCACCAATCCTATTCATATGATTGTGCTTCTCATAATTTTTTTTTTGAAAAAGTATAGCCGATTAAAGTATTCCATTTATCACGAGATAAAACATTTCGAACCAATTAAAAACAAAAGAAATCACGCCATCACTCTTGGCTTATAACGCATACTCTTAAAACATATTTAGAATCCGAGAAAGAATGACAGAAAAGAAAAAGGCGGAGAAAGGTCAAGATTGTTATGCGTCTATTTTTTTCTGTCTCTCTGCTTCACCTGTCAATTTACTATAGAACGAAAAATATACGACCTACAATAAAATTACAAATGTACTTAAAAATAACTCATTCATGGAATTTTTACAAACATATTATATTTTTGTAAAATAACTTAAGAATTAAATATTTTTCTAACATAAAAATAGAGAAAGATTATAAATAACGAAGATAAAAAATATCCACATGAGGTGAAGATCAATATTTTTTGTCTTCGAATACTTGGAAAATACCAAATTAGAGTATAGTTTATCATATAAAATGGTATACTTTGCTGTTTTTATTACACAAAAGAAGAATGATAATGAAATATCAATTCAATTCGAAACATTTGGTTTTACATTTATTTCTTCTTCGATATGTATTTACTTCAACAGAAACTATGGTATGCTATAATCGTGATGTGATCCTTCGTGTTTATCAACAAAATCAAATGACGAACATATAGTTCTAAGTGGAATAAATCTTCTAGCTACACCAACGTTACAACGTCTACAAGCATTCATGGATGTTTATCGTCATTTGTCGACGTTCGATATTAAATGGGGATACCAATTTAATTGCCATTCCAGAAGCATCACATGGACAAATTCAAGATTTAATTCGAAGAAAATCAGATTATCCAAAAGTACAACAAGCATTACGATCAATGGAATTAGGTAATGGTTCGTACTTAGAAATTACAATCGAAGATCATCAAAGTGATAAATATGCACATGTCATACTTGCATATGGACGACAAAAACCGGTTTACGGCGCGTAGCCATATGTGAATTTCGACAGTGTAGTAGTCTCAGTGCAAGTGGTCTATTAGGAACTATGGTCGTGTGTGGTGTTATTGGTCATATAAATCCGGCAGCTGGTATTCTGACTTTTATAGCAAAAGTAGCAGCTGACTATGCTATATCAAAACAAGATGTGTCTGTTGTTGTAGCCATTAAAGAACTTGTACGCGCCGGTTTTCTGAGAATGGATGAGACAACTATGCAAATTCAATTAGGATAATATATAAGCAATTATTTATTTCGCATATCTTCTCTTCTTGTAATCATATTTTCATTAATAGTCATGATAAAATAAAAGTTCTGATTGACATCTATTGAATGAATGACTGTATATTTTGTAGAACTCACCACGAAAATAATGAGTGTAAGTTTGTATCAAAACTCATCCTGCTCTTCCATTCCTTAGAATCAGAGAAAACGAAAATTGATCGAGAAATTCATAATAAAAAAAAAGAACTTCAACTGAGACGAATAAACTAAAACATTACAAAAAGAAAACGGAAGATGCCATTACCAAAATATAGATCACTACAGCGAAGGATATGAAATAGAATTTCTTTTCAAAATTAACACTGTTAGATTCACTGATTTTCATGAAATTATATGAAAATAATTCTGATATAAATGTGAAAACAAGAAAAAAACATTTCGAGAATACGGTGCGAATGAGAATATCGATATGGTTGTCAGAGTCAGTGTTGGTATAGCTGCAGGTGCGAGTGTGGGTAAGTATGTGATAGAGTTCAAGAAGATTCACTTCCATACCCGTACTCCTTCTTTATTTTTACATTTTCTCCCTCTTTAAATCAATTGTTCCGGAGAAAGCTCGGCGTCTACTTTACTTGTACATGGTACTAACACAAAAAACTTTAAGTACTTTAGATAGCTTACAAAACTAATATTTTTTTTATTTTTCACACTGTTGACGATTTTGTTAAAAAATTCTTTTTGTGCTTCTCGACTATTTCTCGCTTCGACCAATTTTCGTAGACCCTTATAAAATAATGCACATGAAAAGTTAATTTATATTAGCTGAAAGCTTTTAAATGAAATATTTGTATATTATATTAAGATGAAAGTGTTTTACACAAGTGAGAAGCTCTAAATAAAACTTAAAACATTCTGTTTCTGTTAAATTTCAGGACAAAATTTTTCTATTTGTAATTGAATGAACATGATGATCACAATGTTTGTCATGATTAAAAATTTCTTGAAGATTAGCAAAGTTCATAGTGCATGTTTTTTATTATTCAATAAAAGATAAACAATGATTCTTAATATCTTGATCTCTAATTAACTATTTCAGACTCTACTAAAGTCTCTATATCGATTGTTTTCATAGACTTACCTTTAAAAGTAGAACAAGTATAAATGCTGTTAATATCATAATAGTTGTACATAAAATAAACCATGTAAACCAATGAACAGAATCTTGTAAACCCATAATTTTCATTATTTCTTTTAATCGTCTTTAAAACAAAACAAATGCAATTTTATTATATTCTTTTTTTTTTCTTTTTACATTATCTTACTTTTCTTTTTCACATACAATATCTTTAACATTCATTGATACTGTAAATATCCAACTTAATACCATTATTAATGGTAACATTCGATTAATAGAATTAACAAATCTAATATAAATAAACGATTTTATTAATTTAAAAGAAATCCAAAATATCTTTTTACTTATCATTAATCCAACATGGATAAGGCATTTGTTGAGTTTGTATACCATATGCTACATTTTTTCCTGTATGTAAATAAATTATAGCACGTTCAATAGCATTTTGTAAATAAATAAATGCATATGTATGATATTTTGTTGATGATGGTGCACGAGCTCGAGGTGTATATGAAAAATATCTATGGAAAAAAACCAAGAATAAAAATTTCTAAAATTATTTTTTGTTTTTTGTATTTTACCGATCTTCAGTTTGAAATGTATTATCAACTTGATCAAGTGTCATTCGTATTTTAAATTGAATATGTTTTGGTAAACTATCATTATTTGTAATATCATTCATAAATTTAATAGAAGCTAAGAAATTATTTGTTTGAGATTTATCTTGTCCTTCACGTATCATATCTAATTCAGTATTCATTGCTATAAAACGATTAAGTTCTGAACAAGCAATAAATTCTGTTAAAATAGTTAAAAAATTTATTGATGTTTTATATTTTGGTAATTGTTCACAAATAAATGATGGATTATCAAAAAATATATTACAGATTATATGAAATATATTATATGTTGGTTGAATTATTAATCTCATTTGACGAAATAATCGAACAAATTCATCTAATGATTCAAATGTATGATTAATTTGTTTTATTATATTATCATAATGAATATTTGATGGATGATAATATATTTTTCCATATAAAATAGGACGTACAATTGTTAAAAATTGTTTTAATATAGGATTTGAATATAATACGTCATCAAATAAAATACAACGACATGAACGACTAACTGTTATTGTTTGTGTTGTACTACCAGAACCAGTTATATATGATTGTTCACACATTTCAGATTCATCAAATGAAAGTAAATCTATTGCTAAATTATTCCAATCAATACCAAATAAAGATTCATCAGTTGTTGTACGTGTTTGATCATTTTGAGTTTGTTTATTTGTAGTTTTTGCAGATTGATTTTGATTAGAATATTGTGAAAGATCGTTACGACCACCACATATTGTGTTTAAACTAAAGATTGAATATTATAAAAAAACAAAAATTTAGTGGAATTAAAAAAAACAATATCAAAATCATTTTTTAGCAATGTAACTTCACAAACCAGGACATCGACTTTCATTTCCTGTATTTTAGTTTAAAAGAAAAACTTCGAATTGAACCAAAACACAATAGTACATTCTTATAGACAACTTCTGAGGTTACATGAATTTCGGCTCGGTCCGAATGACCAGTGACTTATCGGCCCAGACTCAATTTCATCTCATCAATCCTTTAAAAGAAGCCATATTTCTATAACTAGTCGGTACACTTCGTAATGCTGAGCACTACATTGTCCTGCTCAACACTACAGAATGTGCTAACTATTGATTGAAGTTAAACTATTTTTTATGAAGAGCGATGAGATGAATTTCGTGCCGAAAATTCCTTGGGTCGAAATTCTGGCCTTCCAACTTCAGAGACTAAAAATCTCTATCTAAAGTTTTTCCTGATTTTTTTTCAAAAAAAAAATCGATTTATTTTTGTACAAGTAAACAATAGAGACTTCAGTCTTGAAATCTTTAAGTTTTCAAGACCATTGCTTATCCAATGGATGAAATTTGTTTGAGATTTTTATATTTAATATGACCAGTATGAATTGTGGTTATTTTCATCAAATTTAAAAAAAAAAATCTTTCAGGTCGTCTTCGGTCCACGCCTGTACTCCCCCACGAGAGTGGTGAAGTAGCATTTTGGTTAATATCGTGGGAGAGTACGGGTGTGGATCGAAATTCGATTGAGAGTTGTTGCTAAATCAATCTTTTAAAATATTAATAGGAACCACTTCTAACTTGACTTCAACATGGAAAATTGAAATATTTTGCGAATCGCAAAAGGGCATTATTCGCCCTCCTTCTTTTTAGAAATGAAGTAGTGTTCCAAAGATCCATCAGGTTCCCTATGTAAGTGAACTTATTAGAATGGAATTATTCAAAAATTAAGAAACTTGAAAAAATCATATTTTATAAAGTACGGTGGGCCTGAAAAGATGAAGCTATAGCTGTTGTAAAATACGATCTAAAAGAAATATTGAAGTATAGGGTAGAAATTAGGATCATGCTACATATAATTAAATGATATTCTAAAACTTTTGAATATTTTTATCGTATGGTTAGCGAGAATATTTGCGAATTATTTTGTAATTTATAGTCAGCTGAAAGAGTCAACATTGTTGCATATGTCTATACTAAAAGAACTTATTCAGAAAAATAACCCTTCTAAAAAATCAAAGTCAAATGGAAGAGATGGGTATGTCCCGTTTTGCCTGGAATAGTCCATATACGGAGAACTTCTAGATTGGAATTGACTCTATAAATCTTCTCTCTACAGATACGACAATTGTGCTAGATCCAGAAGAAGGAAAATTGAACAAAAAGTTTCTGACTTGAAATTTTGTCTATAGATGGTAGGTATCATGATCCTAAGAGTACCCTAAAAATTTTCAATCAAAGTGATTGTTTCTTCTTCTTGAAATCTTCGAAAACTATCGACTTTTCTTTTCGTCATTTGTGAAATCTTATTGATTTTTGAATATTGAATATTTTCAAAAAGGAAACAATTACTTTCACGGAAACTCTTTATTCAATTTCCCTTTCTCTGATAAAAAAAATCCAACAAAACTGTCGTAACTCTACAAAGAAGGCTTCTAAGTCCGAATGATTTTAAGATTATTTTAGTTGAGATGTTTTCTCTATATGATCAAAATATGAACTCAACAATGAGGAATCTCTTCGGCGATTTCTTTGTCAGTAATCAGTACTAAATATAGCAGTAATGTGCTTATTAACTCCTAATCTACAAAAGAAAACTCTTCTTTTTTTTTTGCGTATTATGATCGAAGGAAATCTGAAATAGATTTATGAGAAGTTGCCGTTGTGAAAGGTTTCGAAATAAACTCCAAAAGTATAAATAATCGATGAACTACTCTATAGTAATATTAATTCTTTGCCACGAAATGAAGCATCATGGCTGTATTTTGCAAGTTTTTTACGACCAGTCCCTCCTCAAAACTCGATTTTGGGTTAGATTCACTTAAATCACGTGAAATTTTCAGAATATGTTAGGACAATAGTGAATAGACTATGCTAAAATTTTCATCCTTATATTATGATGTTTCCGGAAGATATTCAATATAAACAACGCTCCAAAATGGCTCATTTGGCAATTCGAAATTCTCTGTGAGCCTTCATCATTCCATGAATTTAATTTCTTTTTCATTTAAAAGAGCACATCAGACTGC